TACTTTTATCATTCCTAAGGAAATATATCGCCTTTTATTGTCAATTAATTCACCGCCGATTCGCCGATTGCCTCGTCAATTATAGCAATTATCGTCGCTCTCGCACCCCCCCCCCTCTCTCTCTCTCTTTCCCTCTAACGCACACAATCCCGCGCACTTAACGAAGTTTATACTTCCAGAAGACGAGTCGTCTCACGACGCGATAGCGATTCACCGGGCGAGCTCGAGACCGACCGTGGAACCTGACCACCCTGAGCGTCATGATTTATGGGAGCCCGTCGTAATAGCGCGCGATTCAGCGCTCGCAGAAAATATTTGTGTCGGAGTCTCCGATTGTGCGCGCCCGGAGATCTGGCCAAACATTTTCATTTGTGGATGAAAAGAAGAAAAAACCGAGGAGGAGGAGAAGGACGACGGACGAAGTGGCACCGCGGCAAGGGGAAGAGAGAGAGAAAGAGAAGGGACGCTATGGGGGTACACATAATAATGGATCCGACGACTGAGAAAAGTGAAACGTCACGTCGTGAACTGCACGAAAGACGGCCGTACGTACATATTTACGGACACACGTGTATGTGCGCGCGCGCGCATATGTACGTACACGCACGTACACAGGCGGGAGGGAGAGAGAGCGTGGAGGACCACCTGCTCTCGTGACGTCTTATTTCGTTCCGCAACGAGCGGCCCATGGCGATTACCGTTTAACGATTACAAGCGTGTCGGGATGCCTGTAACGCCTTCATTCATTACCACCTACCGCTCCTCCAACAGACTACGCGTAGCGCGTCGCGCAATTAATTAATCTTACGTTCCTCGGTCGAGTGTTAACGAGACTCTAGCCACGGGCGGTCAATCGCGACGGAGGAGGATACTTTTTACGCGAGCCGCCTCGAGATCTTTCCTCTAACCGGATTCATCGAGACCGGAGATCATCTTCTCTCTCTGTCTTTGAACGAGTATAGAATATTTTAACGCGATTAAAATACGAGTTATTGCTGAGTGACTATTCCCTCAAAAATCAATCGCCGGTGACCGATCGTGCGAGGTCAATTAGGTAATTAACGCGGACTCGGTGTCGACGGATGTCTTCAATAAATTTGTGCGATGCGGATCCCGGGATATTTTCTTTTTCTTCGCTAATGGTCGCGCGTCGGAAGGAATTACCGCGGTTAAACTCGCGCGAGAGGATCCGGAAATTCTGTCGTATGCCATCGCCATTCTAAGAAACGTCTCCATTCATCGACGTGGGATGAGTTCCAGGGGTAGTGGCGCGGTGTGGGTGGCATTTTCTCACTGTGAATATTTCCCTGCCCCGGTCGTTGGAACTCGGCCGACCTTGTGAATAGATCTCCCCCTCTCTCTCTCTCTCTCTCTCTCCCGCTTTCTTTCCTTCTCTCGCTATTCCTCCTGCCTCCCTCCTCCGTTCTCCTCAAATCGCATTTATTCGCGAGTTACGAGCGGTCCTCTTGTGCTCATTCCGCTTTAGTATACCTTTATGGTGGCTCCATAGAGATGTCAATCAATCGGCGCTGCCTTCTTTTCAGAATAATTCTAAAGTCCGTCTCCTCGTCAGTGGATTCAACCTCAACAACCTTTCTTATCCTCGTCAACTCGTACGACCTGCGATTTCTCTCCTTCTCTCTTCTTCCCCCACACGCATACCACACATGTATGCATACATACAGACGCACATATGCACGCACGGATTCGCTCGCGTCCCCCGCCGCCCTCGGAATCCGCAACTCGGAAAATGGAAACATCCGCATCTGCATGGACGTGACGAAGAGAGGAGCCGTGAATCAGTCCTGCCGGCAAATCGCACATCTGCGAGATCCGCTCGCGATGCTGCCAAGAATAACGGCTACCGTGCGTGTCCGGCCGGCGTGATTTCATCGCCGGGAGATATTCTGGCGGGATACTCGATCGCGCCGCGAGAGGTAAACTTTTACCCCCGGATACCCGCGATATATATCAAAATGATCTATCATTGTAATTTCAAAGTACGAGCCATCGCCCGTTGGTGCTCCTCCGCTTCCTCCTCCTCCTCGCGTATATCTCGCGGAGTGAACGGTAAGGAACGGCAGGAATACAAAGTGAAACGAATGGCCAGCGGGAACAACAACAACGTGATTATCCCGGCGACCGGAATATCCCAGGCTTCCCTCCCACATTTATCGGGAATGCTCGAAAAACAGCGGCGCGTCACGACGCTACCGATATTTTTCCTTGCGAAAACGTCCGACGGAAGCGATCGGCGATCCCGTCCGCGATTGGCGATCGGCGTTATAGCGCGTCTCTGGCGTATCGCGCGAGTGTGTAAACTTTCGCACTTCGTAAAAATAGAAACGCTTTGCATCTCCGTCGCGCGCGCGCACACACGCTGGTCTATTTTACTTGCGCCAGCACTCCGTGAAAACGGGGCAGCGCTGCAATTTTTTTTTTTCATCGCGCGCTGCCCCCGCGCTCGTTCGCTCGCTCGAACGCGCGGGCGTGCGCGCGCGCGCACGATCTGTCCCTTTTCGTTTATCGTTATTTCCATAGCAGTCGATGGTGTTTCGATAGTGTTCGGTAGTATTTCAATATCAAGCCGGCTCAGAAGTATTCCGGGGCCGATATACCTTTGAAGCCGGCTTGTACCCCGGGAATCGATACTCCCGCTCTGCCGCCGCGTTGCCAGCGAACGAAAAAATGCAGCAGCCCGGTGCACCGTGCGAGAGCGATTATCGGAGACGAGAGACGTACGGACGTGCGGACGGATGGACGAGAGTGGACGGGCGAACGGTTTGACTTTGCATGAATGCGCAGATGCGGGTGCAACAGCTTGCGTAACGTGGCCGACAAAGAGCAAAAGGGAGCCTTCGCACAGCCATATTGCCTCCTGTCAATCACAACGGCGCGCGGCATACACACACACACGTACGCACACGCACGCACCTCGTCCTCTCTCTCTCTCTCTCTCCGACCCGCACTGGCGTTTTCCACGATGCACGTCGCGCTCAAAGCGGCAAATGGTGTATATACCGCAAACGGCGATGTAATGCGATGTACGTTACGTCTCGGCGACGGGATCGCGTTTCGCGACTTAATTAGCCGAAGCGGCGGAATCGCGCCGAGAAGGGAAGTATTCGGTCGGTACGTGAGTGAGAGAGAGAGAGGAAGAGAAAGAGCTCTATTTCTTTATTTTCTATTTTTTTTTTCGTCTCTTTTTTTACCTTTAAAGCAAATGTCGGTATAAGCGTCGTTCCCGGAAGCTACGTTTCATTGCGTCACAAAATTACGTGATACGACTTATCAAGGCACAAAACGCATGCCAACACGCATAATTATATACTATCCGATACGTTATTTGATACATTAATTATACGTTATATATAAAATACGGCATATGTAATACTTACGTAAACATAATTATGTATCGAATGATAAATGATAATTTCTTGCAAAGTGAAAAATTAGCAATGAAGAAGTGGAAATTGTAAGTTGAAAAAATTAACATATGCATAGATGAATATAGAGGCAAAAATTTCATAAAAACGTTGTTGAAACATTATCGAGATCCGGATAATACACAAAGATTTAAGAATACCGCGTTTTCGAAATAGTGTTTCTCTTTGAAATTTAATAAAAACGGAACACGATAGTCCTTGAAATTAGTGATGTCAATTTCAACTCGAGTCTTTCAATAATTGAGTACACACAGCTTTCAGACGTTATTATTATCTGTTATCGCTAGGAAAATCAATAATTTGTAACATTTGAAATTAGCCATACACTCAGTTGCTGAGAAATATTCGGATACTCAGGTAGTAAAAATTGATAGTACTACTTGAAATTCCACATTGCCGTCACCGCTGACGATCATTCCGACACGGTAACTCGCGGTGCTCAAGTATCGCATATTCATGCGTCTTACTTTTTACATTAGATCAGATCAATTTAACGAAGTTAAAAATAACGGGCAATGTCATGACACGCCGGCGGTAAAAATTGTTACAATCGTAATCGCATGTACCGACATGGTTTTATGATGTTACGTGGGAGATCGCGAGACCTTCGCGCCGCGCCAGGTGTGAGCACGATGCAACGTAATTTAATTATTCATTCATCTCATGTAACATTATAATTTTTGCTTCTACACTAATTTTAAACACTTATCCTCATCGTCGTGTGTCGCGTGTAAAACATCGATAATGAAAGCCGCGAATTAAAATCAATGAGCAAAGTTATCGTATGCACGTAAAAAAGCGCAAATTAAAAGTCGATCGCGCGAAAGATTATTACGACAGAAATATTCCGAATGCAAAAGATTACGAAGGGAAATGTGGCGAGTCCATATCAACTTACTCGAAGTAATCCTGCTCAATTCAGATCTTCCGTATGGCATCCACCGACATATGTTATGTATATACGTCAAGTTAGAAGAAATTATTGTATTATGAGATATCTATATACTTGCACATACGAAGTTTATAATGAAATATTTTGGAAACGATAATGATTAGTGAAATTTCTGTTACGCACTGCTAACTAGTTCGATTAACTTTCGTATCGTGTATATATTACAGGTTTATCTTGTATTTAATCAAGCGCTCGAACCACTTTGGTGAATTGAGAAAAATCAAGAACAGCGTGTGACGTCACCTGCTCTGCTCGCTTCGACGTTTAAGACTGTGCGTTGTGACTGTGAGCGTGCCTAAGTGTTATTGAAGGTCGCGCGACCTTCAAAGCGCTGAGTCGTGTTTCAGCAACATGATTTAATGATTTATCTTATATGCGACGGTATAATATTCTATCTTATACTGATTTCTGATCCGCTCACGGTGCGAAAGATTGATAGTAAAAACCGCAAATGTACATTAATAAACGAAGTGATCGCAACGCGAATGCCTACGTGAAAAAATCACGAATTAGAAATCAATGGCGCGCGGATTATCGCGTCGGAAATATCCCGACCGCAGAGGATTACGAAGAGTTAATATTGCAAGTCTCTATCGACATACCATTGAAGTGATCTCGCTCGATTCGAATCCTCCGTGCTGCATCCACCGAAATCTCGTTCTCCGCAACGACGTCTGTGTCTGCGCGACCGCAAGCTCTGCCGAATCTGAAGCAGAAAACAGTTTTCTCGGTTAGTAAAATTGTCAGAGGGCCTGCACGATCTTGATTATTCGGGAACACGGAGCGGTATTCAGTACGGAGATACTGAACTCCGCATATTTCTTTCTAAGATCATGAAAAATAAAATGTATCATCCTTGAATTTTCCGTGCGCTCCCGCTACTCGCAATAAGCCCGCTATTATGAACGCGAATGCGCGCAGGATCCTAATCGGTCTCTCGCGTTTTAATTAATTGAGAAAAAACGAGAACAGAGCACGACATTGCTCACGTTGCATTCACTCTGCCCTCTAAGATTTTTATGACTGTGAACATACAGCGCACGTGTATCATTATTAAAGGTCGTGCGTCCTTCAAAGCGCTTGATCGTGCTGCAGCACAACGCATTAAACGATTTACTGAATTATATATGTACGAAGTAAGAAATGATATTCGAAGCTTCGGTTCTTTGAAGCTTCGAATATCTAAACCTTCGTCACATTATATCCAAATAATGAAATGTGAAAAATCGAACATTCGGATATTCGAATATTTAAATATTCGAAACTTCATTAACTGGAAAGCGTGTTCGTTTTATAAACATAGTAAATAGTATTTACTGACCTAAAGAATGTAATTTTTCTTGCGTTACGTTATGTTGTTACATGTCATGGCAAAATTTGCATTTATTTTAAAATAAAGTTATGAGAATTGTTGTTTGTTAATTGTGCTTTCCTCATTCATTTTGTTTTAAAGTAGACAATATAAATTTCAGAATTGAATTAAAGATACTTATCCAACTTAAACAACTCACACACACACGTACATACAAGACGTCTTAGGATATCGTAATATTATCTGGGTTAACCTAATATTCTCTAATAGCACAACGTTTCATTGAACTCTTCAAACTTAATTCTATTAATTTTCGATATTTCAAATCTTTGAATAGAATTGGAAGTTTCAAATAATTTGACTTCAAATCTTCAAATTGTCGAATGTCGAAATATACCGAAATTTCAAAGTTTCGAATATATCGAATAATACTACCCTTAATTAGATATTACGTTACATTTATAATACTCCATTCTATACTGACTTTTACGTTCGCAAAAAATCAATAATAAAAACTGCGAATAAATACCAACGAGCGAAGCAATCGCCCATGCGAACGCCAGTGTTAAAAGTTCGCCAATTAAAAAACGATCGATTCGATTATTTCGACAGATATATATCTCAAAGGAAGGATTCCCAGAAAAAGTATAACGAGCCAGTGAATCTTCCCTCGTGCCGATCATCCTTTTCCAGACTCGAGCCGGATCCTTCGGTCGCTCGAACTGCAGCTACCACGCGATGTTCTACCTTTTAGTCCTACCTTAAATCTAATTTGATTCTACATTAAGTTTTCAAAGATCTCCTTTATTATGCTCCTTCGATGCTACAAGTAGGCAAGCTATTGCTGTATTTTTGAATACACTTCAAGACTTAACGTAGAATCAAAAATTTCGTCTCGGATGCCGCTTGTGCGATGTCTGTCTGAAACTTGTCGGAGAATACGAGCGGCGAGATAGCGGCCGCGATACGGCGATTTCCATTGGGATTCTCGATATCGCGCGTTTCATTTCAATTTCATATCGCGACGCATCACGCGTACAACCCGTGGCTGTTGTGTAGCGTAAGCGCGACACGTCTGATGTCAGAGAGATTTGTCGCGATCGTACCTTCCCGCGTAACTTGCCCATCGTACATGCAGCCGCGGCATTCCGTTCCGTAGCGCGCATAGGAAATCGGAAGAGATCTTAGGTACTATATCTCGAGCAGGATCGTTTGTTTCGGCGGACCGTTTAGCCAATTGCCGCAACAAAAGGCCCTCCTCGCTTCGCGGAGGGGTTGTTTGTAGCTGGAGTAATGGCCGCCGAGGTAACCCTCCTCCTCCTCCTCCACCCTCCTATGGGCCTTCTCCATCGACTGCCTCGTGTAACCTCCCCTTCATTCCTCCTCTACCGCGACGAGACAGATAGAGAGAACGAAACCAAAGGGAGAACGAGGGAAGGACAGTCGATCGCGCTGGCATCGCAGGGAAAGAGAGAAAGGGAGATATAATGTAAATAGCAGATAAAGATAGAGAGAAAGAGAGAGGGAGGGAGAGAAAGAGAGAGAGAGAGAGGGGGAGGGAGGGAGACCAAGAGGGAGACCGAGAACTCGATCTACCCCTATGCCTGGGCATTCCGCGTGGGTGCAGGCTTGTAGGTAGATAGGGGGGCGGGTAAATCCGAGCAGGAAAGCAGCGCGGCGCGTTCGAGAATCGGGGATTTATTCGGAAACTATTGCACCAGGGGGTGGTGAGTGGTGGTGGTCCCGATAGGTGTAGCGTAGGAATATAGGTGGTGGCGAAGAGTCCGGAGGGTGTGCAGGAGCGAGAACGAGGATGACGCGGCCGGTGGTGCAGGAGGAGGGAGAGGGTGGCGGCGGCGGCTGCCGAGCTAAATGCTTCCGCCTCCTGTCTCCTCTCTTGCCGCTGGCACCGTCGTTCGGCACCGTAGATTCCCTCTAAACAGCTCGAAAACGCTCAAACGTAATATATTATCGGACGTATACGGACCGCCGGCGTATTTATCTGGGCGCACGGGGTAGCGCGCCCGGCATGGCGGCGGTTGAGAGAGGGAGCCGCCGTAAAGCTGCCAGCGCAAAGTATTGCATAAATAAGTGCGCTGGCGAAATATTCATGGCCGTGCCAAACCATCCTTCCACCGCACCGCGCACACCGGTCCTTCTCTCTCTCTCTCTCACTCACTCACTCACTCTTCCTCCCGTTCTCTCGCTATGCGCGTCTCTCTAGAGCTCGTCGACCACCGCAGACCTAGTCTCCTTCGACCGTTCGTCCCTTCCTTCCCACCGTCGTCCTACCCACCTACGAGCGGCATCAACCTCCACCTTCGCCCGGGTATATCCCACATCGTTCCTATATAACCAACCCCCGAAAAGCGCGGATCTATTCATGAGCGTCTCTATCAGTACCCGGTGCGCCGATAAATTTACTTTCCTCCTCGGCGCTTGTGCCGCCGAGGATGCCCGGTAGTGGAGAAGAAGGGCGTATTTACGTAGAATCTAACCTAACCTGACCCGTCGGCCCGCGAAGCGTCGGGCGACGATCGCGCGCGCGGCAGACACGCGCTCATAAATTTCGCGGAGGAGGATACTCAAATCGTCGTATCTTACGTCGTGCGATCCTCAGGATCCCGTTTGATCGTCCACCGTTTGGGGAAACTGCTCGACGACGCCACGGTGTATGCGTATCCTCGACTCGGGGCGATCGGAAGTGAAGCGAGGCAACAACATGGCGATCGCGCGAGCTTCCGCGATTCGCGCGCGTCCGATAACGCCGCCAGCGCCGCTGGCGGTACGCGCGGGTACCACCGCGCTTCTCGCGCCAAGTATTCGCGCTAATGCACCGTCGCGGCGATCGTTTTCTTATTCGTAACGCACAACTATCGGATCGTCGTTTCCGTTGCCGGCGCGTCTCGCCGCGAGAAGAAGAAACGCCGTTAAGGCCGGTGATTGAGATTCACGTCGCTAACTATTAATGAACGTGCGCGCACGGTTCGATCCTCCACGCGCGCCGCAAAAAAGGAGGACACGTCCGCGCGATTCGAATGACTCTCTTGTTCCGAAAACACAGTGTCGCCTTAGCCGAGGCCATTACACGGCCGAGTAAAGGAGCGTAAGAATGCGGAGCGGGAGACGGAGAGAGAGGATGAAGGTGGGTATCACAACGTGAAGAAGAGAGAGAGTGCATGTATGTGTGCGTGGGTGAGGGAGAGAAAGAGATGAGCAACAAAGGGACGATAAGTCTCGCGGCTATGTTCGTTTGAAGAGAGGCACGGAGAGAAGGAAGGAAGGAAAGAAAGAGAGAGAGGGAGGGAGAAAGAGAGGCGCTCTCCGGAGAGAGCTCCTCCCGATTGTCGTGCGTACGGATATAAACGTAGGCAAGAAAGCGAGAGAAGAAGGGTGATTAATCTTGCGGTCTTCCACGTCTCAAGGCGCGGACGTGCGTTATTGATGGAGACTTCTTTCGACCTCCATCTTCGCCGTGCCTCTCCGAGACGCGTTCGCCCCCTTCGCCGCCGTCTTTTTCTCGCTCCACCCTTCTGCGAGAGGTTCCCTTCTGGTGGCCGTGCGACAAGCGCGCGGCGTGTACGGCCTAAGCACTCCGCATGGTATCGGCCGCGTGACCCTGAGGAGGGTGGCACCACCTCGCCGATGCGCGCTCGTTCGCCGCGATCGGCTATTTTTGCCGTGCAGTCGCCTCTCCTCGCTTGTCGAACGTTTCCGCGAAGGTGAGCAAAGCGAGGCGTGTCGAACGCCTCTACTTCCGTTGCGCCAATTCGTCGGCGAAGCCGTTCGGTATATGCATCGTCATTATCCGGTTGATAACAGCGCAGTTATACCCGGCGACTCATCCGGTATACTCCCGACGTGGACGAATAAGTTGACTCCTCTCGGGAAGGGGTTGACGACCGCATCGTTTCTCTTCATCCGCAGCTGTAAGCCGAAGAAAGAGGCAGGGCGGTGTGGGTTACGCGCTTTTTCTACCGCGCGTCATTAATATCCGTTGCTGCGACGCCTCCTCGCAATTTGTCAACATCTGATATTTAATTTCACGCCCTTTTACTTCAACCATATGTACGATACATGCGCGCGTCGCAGGTGTAAAACGCCGGCGGAACGTTTACACACTCGCCGCGCGCCGTATGCGAAACACCGCCTCGAGAACGCTGCTTCCTGGCGCGCTTCGCAATGCCGATTCGCGTCGATTGTCCGCGTTCGCCGAGCGAACCCTCAAATCACGCGATAAAACAACGCGATTAGGCGGAAACGTCAACCTGGAAACCCGGCGGAAACGGCCGCATATTCCCAAAGACAAACAACCAATGTCGCGCAGTCGACTCCCGATATCCTCCAGTAATGCGCAACATGTGTTTAACTTGAGCCCTACTTGCACCCCGGGGAGAAGTTAGCTGTCGAAGTCGATACCAGGAGTGTTCATGGATTTAGCTGTTGCAGCGGCAAAGATGCCTCGAAACAATCTGCATGTCGAGGAAGTCGCGACGTTTTCGATCGAGATAAACTTTTAGCGAAGAAACCTTTCCAGAGAACTGTAATTATCCCGGTACTGCACAACTGCTATGTTTCCTTTCGTATGGTTAATGCGATCACGCGACGTTTTGTTCCATCCGAGGGAATCCCGTCGGAAATACCGAGCGAACGTTGCTCGAACACGGCCTTGAGTTCGGGGAACACGAAACGATTTCTTCGACGAGGAGGGCATCTTTCACGGTTCGAGTCCTCCTTCTTTTCTTCTCCCTCTCTCTTTCCTTCCTTCTTTCTTTTATTCTCTCCGCTTGCTTTTCGCTCGTTGCTGATACACCGACGCTGGTAACAGCAAGTAGGTATAAACGTACTAGCAACCGGAAGATAATAGACGGCCGAGCGTCTCCCGGGTGCCGTTAATCATCGGGGATGAGGCCTGTACGTGGTGAGGTTCGACGCGAAACCGCGGGTAATACGACGATGGTGCGGGAGGGGAGGACCGGCGGAGAGGAGGTTTATGGCGCTAGACGGTCAGCTCCTGGCGAAACGGAAGTGACCGCACACCGAAGCAATAGGATATATCCCGCGGGTCCGTTGACGGACACTGCCGGTCGCAGTCGGTGAATGGAGGAACCTCCCGAGTCGAAATGTTGAACCTACTTTCGAGTCACTTTCTGAAAATTCCATTTAACGCCCAGCCCATATCAACCTCGTTTGATTCTATTCAGCCATCCCAGCTGAAACTGTAGCTCTATTTTCAACTTCAATATTCCAATGTGATGAAGATAGCATTAAAAATTCAATGTGTAGAATTAAAGGTTCAAAAAAGAAATTAAAAAGCATCGGTATCGTCAAGGTAGGTCGGTTTTTATTAGCCTATAGGCCGTCTAAGTGGGCGCAAACTATCTACTATTAAGAACGTCAGAGTGACATGGAAATTTCGACTAGGGTTCTTTACTCCAGTGTCAGCGCGGCCGACATTAGAAGATCGGTAATACAGACGGCATACGCGACGCCGAGCTCGCACGAAGACGGGCCTCCGCAAGACGAAGCGTTAACGACAGCGGACGAAAAAGCGGTCATTCGCGCGCTTTATCGCGAGACTGTGTCTCGCGCGTTTCGCAAATGGCCGCGATGTATATCACCGCGCGATGCAACGGGCGAAACGAACGTAACGCAACGTAACGCGAAATGCGCGCGAATAATTTACGTTTATTACGCAAACAGAGCGGCGTTACGGCTGATCGTATATCAGACGGAGATCCTTCCCCCCGGTTTTTACGCGAACTCGCGCCGAATATATTTACGAGAGCTTCCGCGAGGCTCGAAATTTCTCACCGAGCCCTCATCTCACTCTCCGCGGAACGACGATGAAGCGCATTGCTCCGGCCAATTACCGATCGCTACACGGCGACGCGTGAAATTAATATCCGAGCGAGGAGAGAACTTTGCCCTCAGACGTGTGTAAAACCGAGTCCCGCGGAGGACGACGTAGCGCGGCGCGATTCGCGGTGGAGTATCAGCGTGTCAGGCGGGATCGCCGGTGTGAAACACAATTGGTATTAATGCGGGCGGGGTGCAAGGACGAGATAAATGATGACTCGCTTTCAGCCTTTTGCTCCTTTTCCATCCGAACGGAAAATGGATATTAATGGGGGGGCCGCGGCCGCGTTGGCGGTCAGCGCGTAGATACGGCGCGCGCCCGGCGGACTTCGGGAACAGCGGGGGTGTTTCCACCGCGATGTGTGCACGCCGCATAAACGTACGAGCGTGTCTCAGCGAGTTAACCACGCCGGGCGTCGCGGATAGACTCATCAGCCTGGACATGGCCCGCTGATTATATACGACCTCGCGGCTCATTATTGCGGCTCTAAAAGCATCCGCCGCTTTACGCTGAATCGACCGGATTTCGTCTAACGTGATTAGCGCTGTTCGCGCTCGCGCGAGACAATCCGCGTTACCACATCCACGCGATTAGCATTACATCATTCTACGCGAGCGCGCTCGCTCGCGCGTGGACGGTTTTCGGTTATTATTTCTCGAAGGAATTTATCGCGTCCAGTCGCCCGCTCGCTTTCTTTTACCGTCCGGCACGTCGTACACGTGTAATTATGTTAATCGTCGTCGTTAATCGTTGATGCAGCGTCGAGGATCGGCTCTATGTATGCGCGTGCACATATGCATGCATACACGCATACATCGGGCGCTACCTTCTTATGGCCAACCGAGTACCCGTGTTACTTCATGCCACACGTGGCAGAATCGATAAATAATGTCGTTCCGCTGACCGTGACGGTATTACGAGGCGATACGCGTGAGCGAGCGAGCGAGCGAAAGCGCGGCGACGTCTCGTCCCTAATTATCGCCGTCGGCGGGTCCGACTCGTTTCCCGGTGGACGGCAATTAAGAGAGCCGCCGGCTTTGCGCGTCCTAATAAAGAACAGCGCGGAAATCAATCGAGCGTCGAAACGAAAGCTGTCATCGGCGATCTTGTTAGTGGCCCGCTCGGGATCAGCCGCGAGGAAGAAGCGAGGTCTCGTTTCTCGCCCGTCGCTGCACACGAAAAGAGGCGGGGAGCCACGATTGTAACCCAGGGATTCACGAAGAGCATGAGGAAAAGTATCGGACCTCGGTAAAGTTGACCCCGCTTTTTCAAAATTTGACCAAAAAATGAGCAGAATTCTGTTTGACCCCTTCTAGAGTTCGAAAGTTCTTGATCGATTTTAGAAAAGTCCCGTTGATTAAGGGGATCCTGCAGCGGTCTTGTTTCACCGCAAATTTGTTAGTAAATAGCGAGCGAATTATAAACTTTTTCCCGTTTTTGGAATAAATTCAACCCTCCTTGCTTACATTAACGTGTGTGTTGTAATTGTGCAAAAGGATTTTTAATTCTGTGCAGGAATAACGAATATAACAGTAAACAAATTTACGGTAAAATACGACTCCGGGATTATTTTAACACGGAAATAATCATTTGGGGTCATTTAGACTCCAATTTAAAGTTGCTATTATTAACAAAATGTAGCATATTATCGATTGCTTTTCAATTTATTATTATGTAGGAATATTATAATAAATATAGATTTACTCGCTACTTTTTGAAAAAAAAAACGAGGTATCAAAAAAATTTTTTAAACGGAATATGCATATCAAATAGTCGTGGTCGTTTATGTAACAAAAGATAAAGTGGCTATACCCAGGCACTTCACGATTGTGTAATTTCTTTTCACTTAAAAACTTAACGCTTTGGTTCTTAAGAATA